AAACCTTGAACACCAAAATGTAAACTAGCTAATTTAGTTTTCATATTATACCTAAGCCACATCAGCCTCAAACCTTCTACCTTTGACTCCATGATAAACCTCAATAAGGGATCTGACAAGCTAGGTTGCCATATGCAGGCTAACTTTATCTTCAGATAAAATTACTTTTAAAATTAGATTACTTTTATTTAGATCCTTAATATAGAATAAAGTGCCTAACTAAGCACGCAATCCTGAAAGCTGTTACTATTTTACTCAGGTTAAATACTACCATAACTGCACAAAGGGTAGACAATTATATAATAAAACACAGATTTTTCATTTTTGGGAATCAGGGCCCACTGTTGTAACAATGCTAATTAACTTAACTGGTGGAGTATTCCTAAATTCAGATAACAAAAGTGGGTCAACATATTGTTTACTTCTTTTCTGAGAGCAAAGCACTAACTTAGTCATGTTGACCTTCTCAAGCACAAACTGCAAATGTGAGTCTTTGATGGACCCAGTCAATTAATGTTACAATGCACGTCACAATAAGTGTTTGTGGAAGATAGTCTTTTGGGACTGCAGCCCCAAACCTTGAATAAATTCTCTGGTTTGCACTTGAAATGCCCTTTGGGGCATTGCTTCTTCAGAGTCCTGGCTGGGTACTATGGTGGGTGGTCAACATTAAGCCTACAGTATTTGTAAACTGCTTAAGGCTAGGTACAGACATTCAAAATGCCCGAGGCAGAATCAATCTAAGTTATGCAGTTTTCTGTTAAGGGGCATAGTTTATTTCGGTGGCAAACAGAACACACATTCACCCTTTGGTGAGGGGAGAAAATCTTAGACCGGGTTCTACCATTTTAAAGCCAGCCTGTGTGCACCAAATTTCTGTTCTGTTACGGGTATAAACTGGTTTCCAATCACTTATACCACTAAAACTGTAATGTCTGTACCTGGCCTAAGTGATTTCTTATGCATGTACATACCCAGCAAGTATTCAACCATATCTGCATATTTAGAGTCAGATCTTATGTTTTACTTGTACAGAAAGCTAACACAGCTAAGGGGAACTAAGCTAGTTTCTATCAACTCTTCTGCATTAGATTTTTCCCATTTCTCTCTTTCAACTATGATTCAATACCTCCAAACTTGCTTAGAGCTTTAAACACAACAAAAACACCACATACCACATGAGTGTAAAACTAAACCTCTGCTCCATATTTCCAGCTATTTTAAATATCAAGCATGTACCACTGTGTAGTTTCTTCTTGCATACCGGAGAACAACCGTATAACAGCAGTCCCTTAGGACTTCATAAAAATGAGATCTGAATCTGTATTTTCCATGGCTATTTTAGTGAAAAAAGAACAAAACATGCAAGATTTCCTAATGACAGAAAGCTGCTGTATTTACCAAGACACTTCTGAAAAATCTTACACTTTCATTTTACATTCACATGTGCACCGTATGTTAATAGATCATAAACATTATAGGATTAGTGTAGAGTATCAAAGAATTTAGAAATGAAAAAAAATCAATTAATCTGCTACAAATGCAGATACGACTATGAAACTAGCTGCCACGCCAAAAGCTAGTTAGCATGTAGCAAATATTGAAACTTGAATATACACAAACTAGTCCAAAAATGCCTTTCGTTAAATAGTGGCTGTCCTGATTGTGCCTGTAAGTGACTATTTACAGGCAATTGTACTACATCTAGAAAGATAGGTAAACACTTACAGAAATCATAACTCAGAAGGAGTCACTGCTTTGACAAAAAAAAATCCTTTTAGCTTCTGGGATGGAATCTAACATTTTGCTATTGTTTCTTTTAAATGGGTGTACAGACCCATTCCCCAAACTTTTCTATTCCTTGATGATTGCAAGCATTGTATTATTACAGTATCCATGTATCTGCCGTCAACACTGATTTAATTCTAGATTAGTTGCGGAGCTGTCTTTTATTTATCAAGGTCATATCTTGATGGCTGCACAAGCTTAGATAAATCAGGTGTTAAGTAGGCACATCTCCAAGGAACCTAGAAATTCTCTCATCTGCAGTCCTCAGCATATCTTATTATTTATTGCCAAAGAAATGACTGATTAATTTTGTCATCTTTGCTCTGTGTTTTTTGCTCGGCTGAAGCTGCCTGCCCTCTTCTGCAATGCCTGATCAGACCTATTTAAGTTGATGCCTTTGATCGTAGACACTGAGGAGCTTGCTGATTTAGGCTTTGACTAAACATTCCTCCATTGCAATATTTATGTGCAAAATCCTAAATGATAACAGGCAGTCAATGTAGATAACAAAAACTTGTGTTTTCCACTATTATACTGATACACAAAATAGCATCTCTTGTACTAGAATCTCAGGTCTACATTTAATGTAAGGAAAAATACAAACAATTTTTGCAATTTTTATTTTGATCAACAGTTCATTTTCCACAAATAAATACCTGAGGTCAGGAAATAATAGCTTATTTGGAAAATCTACCTTATGATCTATAAAAGATGCTATCAATTTTGTGTGCACTGCAACATCGTTTTTAGAAAATTGACATAATTTTAGTATTAAACTATTCCAACACAAAATAATCAAAATAAAACAAATAAATAAAAAGAAAATAATGAAGTTAAGCACTGTGAAAAAAAAATCTGCCTCCAGCTCTTATTAATCACATTCCAACACCAGAGGCTGAAAGTACATCAAACTGCACCAAATCCTTTTCACATGACAACCTCATAAATTATTCAACTCATTAGTATCACCAAGAGGCATAAAAATAACATCAGTGTTAAGGATGTTTTCTCACAGAGAAAGGTCAACTAAAAGTTTCAATATTAAAATCCATAAGCACAAGCCTCTGATAAGGAAGCATAACAAGGTAAAATCTTATTCCTCCAGAATGCTGTATCTTACTCTTAGCTTATTTATGGAAAAGCTGTACATCAGATACATTTCATTTAATGCTGCCAACAAAATAACTTTCATCTATTGCAGTCTGACACCCAACCCCTGAGTCAAGCTTGCATTGCCTCAGCAATACTTTACCTTTATTTCACCTTTATGTTAAATGCAACAACAGGTGAACAGTCACTCTTGTATGTTGAAAGATTATATACCAGAAGCGGCACCACCTTAAGCTCTCTGTTTCTTTCAATTTTGGCCCTCCTTTGCAGTCTCCTTCCACTACAAGACAGCTAGCCTATCACTGTATGAATACACTAAACTGAACAACAGCAACTACACAAAATGAAAACAGCAACCACTTCATTTATTGCAACACGGGGAAATTTCATGTGATGAGAAGCTTTTCAATGTTAGCTTTAACTTGTATTTAAAAGTAAAATTTTCATTTAATATCCAAAATCACTATTATTTTGTGGTAAAAGTGAAGAAAAACTATATATTTGTACGATAAAGGAATTAAACTAAGTTTGCTGAGATGCAAGGCAAAATCCCCATTCATTTAAAAAATGGTGCAGTATTAGGCACTAAAAAACAGTGGGAGGAATTATAAATCAGCTTTCCTCCAGCTTTCAAGTTGGTTTAAGATCAGCACTTTTACATAGTAGCAGGCTCCTCAAAAATTACAAAGCTTGTGTAGAATAAAACAGAATCTAGGGCTACAACTCACATTTGTCCCTGAAAAAGACCATAGTGATAGTTATGCTCAAATCAGTAGCTTACTATCTGCCACTGTATTCAGTGAGTCTATACTGAATGCTTCACAGGAAGTTGAGGGGAAAAAACCTACATCATTTTGTCAAATCTGCAATACTACATACCACTGGGAAAAACTGTTCTTAATCCCTGCTGCTGATCATGCTGCTACTATGCCCTGAAGTATTACATCTGAGTACCTTTATATTTTAATAAATATTAAATTACACTTGCTCATGTAATTGCACAAGTAGATATATGCTTACATGCCAGACCTAGTTTCAAACTTACCACAAGACATTTGATTCAGTAATGACATGAGGTGAATTGCATAAATTAATTAGAGCTAATTACATCCAAATATAATCCAAACTTCCAGTGACTTTATTAGGAGCTTTGGCTCCATATGGACTGTAAAATTTAGCTCATTTTTGTGCAAAGTAATTTTCCTTTCATCAATTTTTGCCATACATCTCTTTAAGTTTATTTGAGAGTAATTTCAAGTCAAAGTTACATTTATGGCTAAATATTAGTGAAGGTGAATACTCAGATCTTTTTATGTTCAATTGCAAATACAAAACAAATATAAATTAATAGGGTTTGAAGACCTCTTTCCATCCTCAAAAACTTCCTCCAGAGAGGTCTGGAAAATGACACAAGGTCTAGGCCCGGACAATATATTTCCTCTGAGACGAGGCCAAGTGTCCAGAGGCCATCCAGTTTCCTGCAGTTCTGGTGACGTGGAGTCACAAGTAACAGGCTGTCAACAAAGGCCTACCAGCCCTTCAGGGGTTTAGAAAGTAGATACAGTTAATTTGCAGTCAATACAATATTTGGCTCACGAGCACAATTCCTAGGCAGCCTTAAAACAAGCAGCGTTATTTAAGTGTTTATATATTCCACAATTTGTAGAAGAACATTACTCCCACTTGACATGATGCCCAGCTATTGCCCTTGCTATTATTTTTTACAGCCAGTTCCTCACTGAGGAGTCTTAAATGGAAGTTTTATGCTGAAATATCTTTCTGTCTATTGTCATTTGACCATGCAGGAAAGTCAGGTTTTACTACTTATCCCAATGTTTCAAAACCCAGTGGTCAACCAGGGTTGGGCAGGTGTCAAATGTCTGATGCTAGGGCTCTGGAGGACATTTCACAACTTTCAAGAGCAATTTATCTGGCCCATTAAGGAAGGGGCCGAAAAAACTCCCGCTCCAGTTTCCTTCAACATTCACCTCAAGAAAAAAATGGCACTATTCTTAGGAGTCCAGTATGAACATGGAAGATCCATTATAAACCTTTTATTTAAATAAAACAAGAAAAAAGAGAGAAGCTAAATGAGTACTGACCATATTCCACAGCAGCTTTGAGGAGGGCATCACAATGAGTAGATCCAAAGGCATTGCGAACAAATCGCCGCCGCCGCCGCAGATCGTCTTCCCAATAATCCAAGCGCCAGAAGTCATGCAGTTGGCTACAAAAATAGAAAATGCACACACATCAGTACTCATCACAGCTTCAACTGCAGTTCTGCATATTACACGGTGATTTCGAAGTTACTTCTCTATTTCAGGAAAGCGTTCCTGCAAAAAAAAAAAAAAAATATATATATATATATATTACTAAACTATGCAATGTTCTAACATTTCTTTACTTGTATTTAGCCATTAAAGAGCTTGGCCCTGCCTGTCTCAAAATGTTCTGCCTGCTGCTAAAAAACATTAATCACACTGAGCCCATTAACAAATGCAGCATCAAATTACAAGTATTAATGGCACAGCTTGCTTTCTTTTACAGTGTTTTTAACAAGGCTTGTAAATCATAGAATGGACCTCAGTGCAAATAGTTTGCAATTTAATGACTATGGTCCCTTAGCAGACTGAACTTAGATGTATAAAATATTGCCCACTTGAATTTTGTGGAACTATGATTAAACTAATGTGCTGAAATATTCATTGAAATAATTCCCCACTGCCCCCAGCAACCTGAGAAAATTGCAATTTTATTCATTATTAATAACACTGAATTAGAGCTGCAAAAAAATTCCACCATGTGGTAATTGTCTTGGTAAATTATTATTCCAACACTAACAGAGTACTTGGATGATTTTATAGCTTCCAGCTAATACAAGCCATTAACAACCATGGCCATCTTCATGTTACACTGGCATTTTGCATTCAGAACCAATATTAAAGTTCCACAAAATGACACAGAAACTACTGCTAATCTACACTGACTGGGAAATGCAATTCACATTGCTGTTTGGTGTTCAATTTATCTTCATTACTAAAACTGGCACTTGTTAGCTCTTTAGTAAACATCCAAATAATATCAAGAACAACATTCCGGTGGAATATTTCATTCACCGGTCCCAGATTATGAGTACATTCTGAGCATGCACTGTAAACCACTGTCTGCATTACGAGCACCAGCAGGCACTTCCAGAGGTAGTATGACAGTGTACAATATCAGAACAGATCAAATAGAACCTATCTGCAGCATTTTTCACAGGTCCATTATATGCTCAGCCATGGCCCAACTGTATTGTGTTCCCATTGATGGATCAGCAGTGGGAATGGATTGTTGCCTGTAGTCAATGCCAGACTCGCTTGGCTTTGCATGCTAAGAGTGCAAGGACTAGACTTATACCCAACTGCTGTACAGGAGTTCAGAAGAAAGGGCTCAAAGGCTCCTGGCGCAGAAACAAGGAGCTAGGTACAATCCAGCCCTCTATTTTGCACCTTTCATACAAAGGAACTTCAGGTTTAATATTACCAAAATAGCACAAATCCTAATAACATATTTTATGTCTTTGTTAATTAACAAAATAATTTTTACTGTAGAAGAAAGAAAATGTATTTTTTAAGTGTAACTATTGAAAGGTTAGCAATATCCCCTTTCTAGGTCCTGTTTAGAATTGTAAACTATCATGGAACAGAAGTAACAAAAACACATTGTGCAAGTGGGGGGGAACACATTTATGTTTTAAGCACTTGGGATTTTGTGGCTCTGCTAAAGTGTCCATGCTGCCACCTATGAAAAGTCTATTAGGCTGCATAGAATGACATAATATTACAAAGATAAAAATGTTATACTAAAGTAGCATTTTTGTATACTGTGGAGGTTAAATATACTATTTTAAACATGCTCCATAATTAGTAGGGCTGTGCGAAGCTTTGGTAGCTGATTCGATTCGGAGGGGATTTGGCCTGATTCAGCGGCTGAATCTCCGAATCTTAATCAAATCAGAAGATCCATTAAGAGGTCTGAATAGAAGCAGAAGCCTCTGAATCAATTTGTAGAGATTTAGGGCTGATTCGGAGATTTGGCCATAGGCTATACAGGTTTCCCTCGCATAAAGCAAACCCATTTTATAATGTAACAGTGTAACAATGTAATAATGCAATATAATAATAAAACAACTCACCCTAGCCGCCACTGCAGCAGTCTCAGGAGTGACCAGTACCAGCTGCAACGAGAACGGTCAGTGGTGGCGGAGGGTGCCTCTTGCTGTTCCATGCCCCCCAGGAGGGCTGTGGGGATGTCAGGCTCTTTTTGGGGGTACGTGCCCCCGGATCTGTGCGCAGGATGACAGCAGGTTGCTGCTGCATGCTGGGGCTGGCAGTGGGACCAGGTTGATTCTTCCTGGTGCTCAGGGCAGGCGCGCCAAGTTCTGGGAACAGCCCAGCGCCACCACCGGCCCCAGCCTGCAGTGGCAGCCGGCTGTTATCCCGCATGCAGATCCAGGGGAGAGCCCAACACATCCCCCCAGCCCACAGCCCTCCTGCGGGGAGGCACAGAGCAGCAAGAGGTGCACCCTGCACCCATTGACAGTTCTCACTCCAACTGGTGCCAGATGCTCCCAGGGCTGCTGCAGTGGGTGGGGGCTAGGGTGAGTGCAGACAAGCTGCGCCATGTCCTGTGCAACCCAGGGCTCCACTTGCTGCCACTCCCCCCAGCCCCTGCTGCAGTTGACACCAGCTGCCTGCACTACAGCATGGCACAGCCCAGGAGCTAGGGTGAGGGGGGACAGGCAGAGCCCAGTGCAGGAGGACAGCCTTGGGAACGGTACCCCTCCCCACATCCCTTCCTTAGTCCCAGCCTCCCTCCCTCACTACCTGGGAACATATCCCTATCTGTTAGGGCTGTCCAAAGCTTTGGTAGGTGATCCGGCAGCTGAATTCCCAAATCTGAACTGGCCGAATCGAATCAGGAGAGTGATTTGAATCACCGAATCAAATCACAGTCCCTCAAATCAGCTAAATCCGAATCCAAATTGAATACTTGCTGCTTTGCACAGGTCTAAAAATTAGCCCATTAATTTCATTGTTTTCAAGAAGAAAAACCCCTCTATAATCAGGGATCAGCAATCTACAGCTCCAGGTCTGGATCCAGGCTGCAAAGAGATTGGATTTAGCCTGTGAGGTAATGGAGGGCTCATAGGGGGCCCATCCCAGCAGGCTTGCTCCCCTCATACCCTGTCCCCTCCTCTGAAATACTCTGCTGCTGTGAGGGGTGTCCACAGAGTCACTAGCTAGGGGTTAACAAAGTCCTCTTACTACAGCCACTGTCTTATTGCTGCTGCATTTACCTTTATATTGAAATCAGCAATCTGCAATCGGCAGCAGCTGCAGCAGTGGGGTACCAGAGAGGGCGTACATCTGGTGGCTGCTGTGTTAACATTGGGTTTCTGCCTGTACCAACACTTCCCCCATGGTCTCTCATGAGGCACGAGGCAGATAAGAGGACTGGAGTTATTGGTATGCAAGCCCCATGCTGCCTCCATCAGTGGTGAACTAGGTGGAGATCAGGGGTGGGACTGGTACAGTGGTGTAATTAGGATGGGGTAACAGAAGCAACCACCCCAGGTGCTCACAGGGGTGGGGGGTAAAAAAAACCAAGCAACATCTTTTGCCACTGCTGTGTGTTTTGCAGTTGCAGTGGCAATGGCAACTGGAAGTTGCCATTGCCTCTATATGCAGCAGCAGCCCTGGGCGCCCGGCTGTGTTCTTGTGCTGTTGGATTGTTAGCTGCGTCACAAGCAGCAGCCCAACATTGTTTAAGGTTGCCAACTCCTGCTCTATATTATCAACCAAGACAAGAGATAAATACCTTCCAAAGCAAGCATTTTAATGAAAGAATTAAGAACAAATAAGATGGTAATAGTATGAAGTCTACTTTAGAGACTTCATAATAATACAAAATAAGACTTAAATCCCGAAATACAAAATACAGGCTCAAAATCAAAGTTTTGCAACACAAACAAACCAACCTCCCAATTTTAGTTTTTCCATTGCCCTCAATCACAAAATAAGTAGTTTTTCACAATGTAGCTTTTGCTTCTCCTTACATTTTTCTCTTTCCTGAAAAGTTCCTGCAACATCACTAAGGTAAAGCTAAACTCTTGTGCCTCACATACCCTGCTAGTCCAGAACCAATATCATTCCTGCAAGGTGCTCAACATCAGACCCATATTAGTTAATATTAGAGTACTGCAATAAAAAGTAAGCTGGGATTTTTGTTACTCCTTAATACACAACATAATTCCTGTCTAATGCTTTTCAAACACTTATTTAATTAAATAAACACAGAAGTAGAAAGCTCTTCATTGGAGATGGCAACATTATCTTGGACATATGGGAAAATAGATAAATGTGGCTTAATTAGACTGCAACTTTATTAACTCATCTAGGAACTATCCACATAGAGGGAGATTTACTGAATGACTCTTACCCCATGATAACTGGCCCACAGTCAAATTCTGAGATCCCGGTACCCTTCCTTTCATATGAAGGTGAAAAAGTTATGAAGATTAGTAGGGTGAAGAAATGGGGAAGTATTGTTTTTGCTGCAGGGGACATCAGGAATCTAAACCCCATTCTTCATCTTCTCCCTATTCCAACCCTTTGTAAAATGAATATTCTGCACTGACCACATGCCACCTGATACCCTCTGATAACATGAACCTAGCTGCAAGGTCCTTGAGCTGCTGTGGGGAAGGGGAGGCAAAGCAAAAAAAAAACCCAACCCTCCCCCGCCCCCAACTAAAACAAGCCTCCCAAAAAGCCACTAGAAGCTCCCAAAAAGGCCACAAAGCCCAGAGGACTAAAAATACCCTGCTGGTATTACACTACACTTGTCCAAATTGGGGGAACTGCTAATCCAGGTACCAGGGTGATTCAGGTTGAAGGGCTTTCCTCAATTATTTAAGTACTAATGGCTCACCTGAGTCTAACCAGCTCACCAACCTGTTTAGGTGATGCAGGTCTCTCTCTCTCTCTCTTCTGGTCTGCTATGGGCCGAAGACCCTCATGGAAACCTGTTTTTTTTCCTGCTAATTGAAACAAAGCTCCCTGCCTCAGAGATATTAGGTTCTGTCACTGTAATGTGGTTCCCAGCCCACTGCCAGTGTCTATCCTGAGAGAGACACTCAAAGCTTAGCTATTTGGCATCACTTAGGAAAGTTAAAATGTA